TTTTAATCCCAAGGGTGGGGGAGGATATCAGATTACACCCCACATTACTAATAGTAAACACTATTTGCAATAAAAGATTCCCATAATATTTTATTACTTGCAAACCAAACACCATAATCTTACAAAATAAACGAAGATTACCCCCATTATCTTATATACCCCCGATCCAAACGCATCCTATTAGTATTGGTCAATTATTGGAATCTTTTATTGTTTGACATCCAAACGTAATAATTACCAAATTAAAAGATAAATTACCGATGTTATCTTTTATGACCTTGAACCAAATATACAATTTGGATTCTTTTCTTACCCGAGGTGGATTTGATTTATAACCTTAATATTCTTTTTCTTTTCCGTAGGGAAGAAGGTACCTTTTTGCCAACCGAAAAGATAAAGTCTAGTTTATATACTTTTCTTTTGATTTAAAATGAATAACACATATACTAGATTGTTCAAAACAAAGTTGTATAGATTTAAGCAATCGTAGTATTTTAAATCCAAATAAATATTTTCTGATAGCCGCGCTTCTTTGATTTCTGATTTTAGCTTTCCAACGGGACAAGAAATCTGGTCCAAAATTTTCCTGAAAATGAAAAAATGGTATGAGTAATAAAAACAGTGCGGACTTTGTATTGTGTTGTATAAAGTATAAACAACGTGAACAAGAAGAAACACCCATATCACCATATCACTCACCTCTCCCTTTATTTGTTAAAAGCTTGCATTAAAAAAACAACATTGTATCTTTCCCTTTACAATTACACATTAATAAAATATTTATTTGGATTTATAACCTTTTCTTTATTCTTTTTAATAATTTGTTATTTTCCCGTTATTTAATTTTATAAATTTAAAATATCGGTTAAATGGTTAATCCAATGCAATCTAATGATATAAAAGTCTTCTGTAATTAAAATAAAAAGTAAAACTCTTAAAACAAATACAGACTCTGGTGCTTATCGCCTTACGCGGTGTCTTCCACTCTCCAGGCTACTTTTGCATCGTAGTTTCAACGCTCAATCTTTCGGCCTTTCCTCCAGTCGTCTCCTCCTGGTCTTTCTTGGAAACTATTCTGAAGTTTCATTGTTCATTGATATACGTCTCTCTTAATGCCAATAGTTTTTTTAAGTTAATTTCTTAGTAGCTTCACTACATCAAAATAAAACTCTAACCAAATCCCGGAAAAATCTTGGCCTCAGCTTCTCTTTTATTTCTGGTTTTGGTTCTCTTCTTTCTTTGCTTTTCCCCGTCATTTGGAAAATATTCAGAAAAAAGAAAAAAAAAATGTTCCAGACAAATCCCAATTATGATCATCAAGGTTCTGGTAGTGATGACAACCGTCTTGATGCTAGCTTGCTCATCACCACCAGTCCAACCCCCTCCTCTGCAGAATCAGTCAGGAGCTGGCGTCTAAGCATTAATGTTGTTATCTTTTTCATTTCTTTGAAGAAAACCAATATTCGTTCAGATCAAGAATCATCGCAATCACTGACAAATTCTTTGCTTCAAGAGCCTTTAGAAGACTCAAACACCGAAAACCTTCCAGATCATAAAAGTGGGTTCTTAGGCTTAGGCTTCGTCTCAGAAGCTTGCAACAGTTTCTCTAGAAAATCTTTCAAGAAGGAAGACGCTTCAACCTCATCTTACGTTCGTGTGCCATCGTCACCTGCAGCTGACCAAGGACTTACTCGAAACTTGTCCACTCAATCCTGTCATGTCATAGAAATTTCCTCTGAGAGTGAACAGCAGGACCCACCAACTCGTGACTCCATTGTCCGGATGGTAGCAGAGAGAGATCTTAACTCACCCAAGAAAATCGGTGGTGTTGAAAATGTTGCATTGATCTTGGAGAAAGAAAGCCATGCTGTTCAAGATCCACCACGAGTAATATTGGATACTAGCCACTCAATTCAGACAAAAGACTTTTTCTTCTTTTTATTGAAGGCTAGCACCAGGTACTCCAATCTTCTCCTTTTAGTATCAGCTGGGTTGTCCTTTGCCAAGGAGATGTTGGAGGAAGGAACTAAATATGGGTGGCATGATGGGGTTGCCATTCTTGCTGCAGTTTTTATGCTTGTCATGTTCCAATCAGTCTCTAACTTTCACCTGGCAAGAAAGCTGGAGAAGTTGTGGAAGGAGGAAAACAAATTGGAAGTTGAAGTTAAGAGAAATGGGCAGCCACAATCCATCGTTATATCGAATATTGCAGCAGGTGATATAGTGAATCTGAAGGAGGGGGATCAAGTTCCAGCTGATGGTTTGGTTGTGAGTAGTAATGGGTTGGTGTTGGATGATTTAGTAAACCCAAAAATCGATGGTGAGCAGAACCCCTTCCTCTTCTATGGCTCAAAGGTAATGGAGGGGCACGGTAGCATGCTTGTCATATCTGCGCGCGACAACAGGAAATTAGGCAAGATACTGAGCTTGGTGATTGAGGATATTAAAAAGAAGACCCTTCTAGAAGCTCAGACGCAAAAGCCAATCGCTGATATGGACAAAATTTCCCTTGGTGTCTCTATAGTTATTGCTGTCGTCGCACTTATACGCTTTTTAAGTAGGAATCACCATGGAGATGATGTTGATGATGTTCCTGAACTGAAGGGCAAAGTTTCCGTGGGAATGCTAATGAAGATCCTTGAGAGAATTTTGTTTAAACCTCAAGGGAAGGTCAGTGTTTTGGCAAGTGCTCTTTCTGTGTCAATTATAGCAATACAGCATGGAATGCCTTTTGTGGTTACACTTTCCCTCTCTTTCTGGAATGAGAAGGTGGAGATAGAACAGGCAACACCTCGTAATTTATCAGCTTATGCCACAATGGGTATTGTAACACTTTTCTGCATTGATGCAACTGGTGGGCTAGTATGCAATGGTACGGATGTTGATAAATCGGCGGTAAAAGCTCTTAGAAATGCTGGAGTAAGGATTATATTGGTATCAGAGGATGAAGTCCCAGCAGTAAGCGGCATAGGGTGTGAACTTGGAATCTTTAGACCGGCAGATGATGTGGCCCTTGAAGGTGAACAGATTAGAAAGCTAAGAAGGTCCGAATTGATTGATAAAATAGATAAGATGACTGTGATTGGAAGTTGTCTTTCTGAGGACAAGCTTCTTGTGGTTCAGTCTCTGCAAGAAAAAGGTCATGTAGTTTCATTCCTGGGAGGGTTATCAACCAGTGATATTCCAGCTCTTAAAATTGCAGATGTAGGGATCACTGAAAATAGTAAGTGCACTACATTGGCCAGAGAGAGCTCCCACATTGTAATTTCAGCTAAAGGTTCATTACATCAAATCCTGAAGATTGGTAGAAGTGCTTACCACAACATTCAGAAGTTCACTCAACTTCAGATGACAGTTTGTTTTTCTGGTTTACTGATAACTTCGGTGACGGCAATGAGTTTGGGAGAATCTCCAATATCAACAATTCAGTTGATTTGGGCGAATGGGATCGTATGTATTCTTGGTTACCGAATGATGATAATGAATTTAGAAGGCCAAGAACTAATCACAAATCCACAACCTATGAGGGCCCCATCAGTCCTGACTAAGTTCATGAGGAAAAACATCGTTCTTCAAGTAATATGCCAGGCTTTTGTTCTGCTGGTCTTTCAGTTTACGGGGCAACAAGTCATACCAAGCCTGAGCAAAGATATTCTAAAAGCAATAATATTCAATAGTTTTATTCTATGCCAGGTTTTCAATCAGTTCAATGCCATGGGCTTGGTAAAGAAGAAGGTTTTAGTAGCAGTCCTAACAGATTACACGTTCTTGTTGGCTTTGGGAACTATTACAGTTATTCAAGTTGTGGTAGTTGAGTTTGTCAAAAGTAGCTTAGCCGGTCTTGAGAGGTTAAATGGCGTGCAATGGTGTTTCTGTTTGCTTCTAGCTGTGCTATCATGGGGCCTTCATTGTGCTGTAAACTTCACTTCAGATTCCATCATAAACTGGTCCTCAAGTTCTGATGGTTTACAGTTTAGGTTTTCAAGGAGACTGCACCATCCAAATATTTCAGGGTTGATGATCTTTCCCTTTTCAATGTTCCTCATTTTATCTTACATATATTATTACAGCCCATATGTTTCAGTGACATTTCGTTAGGTTAGAATGTCAACTACAGTCTCCCATAAATAAATACTTTAATCTTGTCTAGTCGATCTGCACTAGTATTAGTCTTAGTTTAGAGATATTGAGATTGTAATTAGGATAATACGTTATTGTCGTGTCAGTTAAGTTATAAATATATGATGATCATCATTTCAATGCCTTATTGAATTCATTGTCATTAAGGGTTAGATATTTGATTAATCGAAACTATTATGCTTATGCTTATTTTTATTTTTTTATTTATTTTTAGTAATCGGGATGTATGGATCAATTTATACACACATCAACTAATCTTTGGAGTCTATTGAACACCTTATAAACTTAAAAGACTAAATAAACCTCTTTAACTGTTACGTCATTTCCATAGGGTTAAACTACTAGTACTACACATTTTAACATAAATTATAATGATGGATCACCACAATCTAATTCTCAGATTAGTTAAAATAACATGTTCAAGTGCTGCAACTATCAAAGAATTCCATGAACAGTAATACTTTGGATGATTATTCGGAAAACGTCGAAATCAACCAGTACTCCCATGTATTACAGTACATAGTTCCCTTCTAGCATTTATTTAAATAAATAATAATTTGAACAAATAATAATACCCACTTCACTTTAGAAATATTGAAATGAAATCAACATTCTATTATGTACAATTTGTAAAGATTTTGGTCATTGGTCAGATTATTTATAAATTTTTGTGGCCTAGACTCTCCGTTGAAAACATAGAACCCACAGGATCTTTGAGTTCCACGTGGCAGTAAAACAACCTCTTTATCCATATAAAAAATCAACACGGAAATCCACATCCAATACAACAACCAATGGGAGATTGCTGACGTGGAGATTTCCTGATCCACAGCATCTTCTCGTTTGCAATATAATACAACACTCACTTGCTCTCTTAAGCATCAGCAACAAAGAAAGAAGAAAAACAATCGAAAGCTTTAGCTTCAGCCTCAACACACATAAACACATGGCAACCTCTGCTATTCAACAATCAGCATTTGCTGGACAGACCGCCTTGAAGCAATCCAATGAGCTTGTTCGCAAGGTTGGAGCTTTTGGAGGTGGCCGTGTCACCATGAGGAGGACTGTCAAATCTGCTCCCCAAAGCATCTGGTAATTATCGTTACCGTTCTTCTGCTTTTTCATTATTCTAAAACAATTTTAATTTCTACTTCCTAAATTTATGAAGCTGCATTATACTCTCTGGTACACTAAAAAATAAAATATAAAATGCGTCCTTAGTTATTTTAACGTGCTAGCTCAAACTTACTCCGAAACCTGACTAGAAAAGAGAACTACAACGATGTGTCATTCTGCCTGAGACATTAACCCGTTCCTGTACTTCAGTAAAAGAGCTGCATATAACGTTTATGATCTTTAGAAGATGCATATAAGCGCAGAAACTTTAATCCTGTGATTGTCTGACCACCTGAACCTGACACTGACAAACAGGTACGGCCCAGACCGCCCCAAGTACTTGGGTCCATTCTCTGAGCAAACCCCATCGTACCTGACCGGTGAGTTCCCCGGTGACTATGGATGGGACACTGCTGGTTTATCAGCTGACCCTGAGACATTCGCTAAGAACCGTGAGCTTGAAGTTATCCACTGCAGATGGGCCATGCTTGGTGCTCTTGGTTGTGTTTTCCCTGAAATCCTTTCCAGGAATGGTGTGAAGTTCGGTGAGGCAGTTTGGTTTAAGGCTGGTGCTCAAATCTTCTCAGAAGGTGGGCTTGACTATCTTGGCAACCCCAACCTCATTCACGCTCAGAGCATTTTGGCCATTTGGGCTACCCAAGTTGTGCTCATGGGCTTTGTTGAAGGATACAGAGTTGGTGGAGGCCCACTTGGTGAAGGACTTGACCCACTTTACCCTGGTGGTGCTTTTGACCCACTTGGATTGGCTGATGATCCTGATGCATTTGCTGAATTGAAGGTTAAAGAGATCAAGAATGGGCGCTTGGCTATGTTTTCCATGTTTGGATTCTTCGTCCAGGCTATTGTTACTGGAAAGGGTCCTATTGAGAACCTCTTCGACCATATTGCTGATCCAGTGGCCAACAATGCCTGGGCTTATGCCACTAACTTCGTCCCCGGAAAGTGAAGAAGCTCAATAGACTTTAGTGTATCAATTTAACATTGCTCTGTGTGCTTTTGTTGAAACTATCTAGTTGTGGACTTTATCAATATCGATGTTAAATTATTAGTAGAAACTCTTGTATTGCCACTTTTTCTATCACCAAACTTTTGTCTTCCTTCAGACTCGTTTATACTTTCCACTTCCCCAAGTACTCTGATTCATGCTTTGTGATATTAAAAACCAAGCGGACCCTGAATCTACACCATAAATAACATTATGATAAATTAAGTATGATACATTTCTATTAAGTTTTCTTGTTTTTCCTTCGCCTTCTAGCAATAATGAAGAAATTCATTTTAGATATCAAATAAAGCTTGCCCAAATTCTTAACTGAATATTCAATTACATTGTATATGAGAACGTTTAAACAACCAAACTGCCGTTATAGAATTGATATCCATGAGATTTGCGGTTTAGCTAAGATATCTAAATCGATAACAGCTGTTGTTCCGCAGGCCCAAATCGGGCAAACACTGGAGATAATTTTTTTCAAACAAAAAGTATCCAGATATTCTTATTGAGTAGATTAACAAGAGCATTGATGCTGGCCAGGGAATCACCAAAAATCCTTGCAAGAGCAAGATCCATTTGTGAAATGATGGAAACGGCTATTATCTCTCACAATAATTTCACGATTATAAATACCGGATAAAAGTTTGGTTACAGAATGACAATCATTACAAACACGGAGGCTCTTCACAATGCGGATAGGACTCCCCGGTTTGATATTAATGAGACCAAAAGCTATGGCCAACCTCTCACTATGATTTTCCAATTCTGCTTCCTTCTCCTTCTCATCTTCAATACACAAAAGAACTTGAGTTGTGTCAGGAACATGACCTGCAGATCTCAATTTGTCTCTCATCTCACTCAACTTACGATATATCTCCTTTGTTTGGGGATGTGACTTATCACCCACGATAAACTCATGAAGCACACCTCTATGTTCTATTGAACTGCATCCTGGGTCTTTTCTGAATCCTCTCTTCTTCATCATTTCTCTAACCTTTGAAACTTTCTCCCACTGACCAGCTGCAGCATACATATTTGAAAGGACAACATAACATCCAATAGTCTCCGGAGCCTCCTCGAGCAGATGATTAGCTGCATATTCACCAATATCCTTGTTTCCATGGTTCCTAGCACCACTAAGTAAACTCATCAAAATCACCATGTTGGGTCTCATGGGCATACGCTCAACGATGCTTCTTGCCTCTTCAAGATTTCCAGTTCGACATAAGATGTCCACCAAGCAACCATAGTGTTCAATCGTAGGTTGAATTCCATATTCGTTGATCATCATATCAAAATAGCGGCGACCATCATCTACCAAACCTGCATGACTACAAGCATTCAGAACCCCAATAAAGGTTATAGCATGGGGCTTCATTCTGTAACTACACAATTCATTGAATAAGTCCAGAGCCTGAGCTGCCATGCCATGCATTCCTAAGCCCACAATCATAGCAGTCCAATGTCCTACCTTCTTCCTGGATATTGCTCGAAAAACTTTTAGCGCACTTTCAATGCTCCCACACTTGGAATACATTTGTACCAACAATGTACCAAGCACACCATCTATTACAAACTCATTTTTAATCATGTAAGAATGTATCCATCTTCCTTTACTAAGACTAGCTAATCCTGAAACTGCTGAGAGTGCGCTAACTAATGTAGCATCATTAGGCATAAAGTCACAATTCAACATGTCCTCAAATAATTCCAAAGCTTCTATAAACCTCCCATTCTTCTCATACCCTGATATCATCGAATTCCATGAAATTAAATCCCCCATTGGCATGTCATTAAACAAAACACGCGCAGAATCAAAATCTCCTGACTTCATATACCCACTAATCATCGCATTCCATGCAACAAAATTCCGATCCGGCATCTTATCAAAAATCTCTCTAGCAATATCAACCTTCCCACATTTGGATAACCCATCAACCAAACAAGTCCAAGAAAACAAATCCCTCTCAGGCATTTCATCAAACAGTTTCATCGAAGCCTTAACATCTCCACATTTCGCATACCCATCAATCAAAGTATTCCAAGAAACCAAATCTTTTTCATCCATTGTATCAAAAACTCTCCTCGCAGAACCAATTTCACTACATTTAGCATACATACTAACTAAACTACTTAAAACAAACTTATCCAATCCAAACCCTAGTTTCAAAACCAACCCATGAATTTGCTTCCCTTCTTTAATAGCACCTAACCTGCCACAACCTTTGATCACACAAGGTAAAGTAAAATTATCAGGCAATAAAAACTCCCGAAGCATATCACAAAACAAAGCTGTAGCTTCATGGGAACGGTGGTTAAAAACGTAGCATTTGATAAGAAGGTTGTAAAGGAGCAAAGTATGGTCTTGAATTTGATCAAAAGTGGAGCGAGCATAACGGAGGTTGTTTATTTTGGGGTCTACGTAAAGGGAGAGAAGGCAAGAGGAGACAGAAGGGTGGTGAATGAGGTTGGTTTTGAGAGAAAAAGCGTGAAGTTGTAGGGTTTCTGGGAGGGTTTTTGAGGTTTTGAGAACAGTTAAGTGAAGAGGAGAGGGTATGTATCGTTGAAGAGAATGGATTGGCACATATTGTAGAGTTTGCATGGGGGCGTAGCGTAGGAGTTGAGAAGAAGAAGTGTTTGAACTTAAAACTAGTCCCTTCGATGGATCATGGATGGTGTATATACTTCAATAAAGGTACTTATAAATTAATTCTTTCAACAAATAAATTGTCTAATCAGTACAGGCGCGGCGTGGCGTGACCTTGTCCAAACTTTGAATGTGGTTGATTGAAGAACTATAAGAAGGGTTTGGACCACAACATCCAACCACGCTACCTAAACTGTTGAGCAATGTTTTAAAACTCACCGCGGCCCACTGGTTCAACCGGGACCGAGGCTTTTACCGAGTCGGGTTATCAATTTTTATGTTCACCGAAAATCCTAAAAGTTTGGATGATGATCAACGAATAATTGAAGGCCGATATGTAGGAGGTTTTGAAGAGAAATGGTCGATGAGTGCAATGGTGGTGACAAAGGTGATTTTCGATGAATGAATCGATCGAAAATTGAAAAAACTTGCGACAGCAACAACGTGTTGTTATCGACAATTGGCGAGGCGAACAGGGGTGGGGTGTGATGGGTTTTGGTCAAGAGGCTACGGGGAGTATGTTCATGGTGATGGGGAGGGTTGTCGATGTCGATGCCGATGGTGGTGGGATCTGGCTTCGATTGTTGACGCCGACGATGGTGAGATCTATTCGTTTTCGGCCAGATCTTTTGTAGATTTTCTAGAGAATGACTTAAATGATGATTGAGATTGCATTTGATGTCGCTACCGTCAACCAGTTGATCGCCAATTTATATTTGGGATGTGTTTGCTAAATTTCAAACTTGTAGGAACTTAACTTTATTTTTAAGGGTGTATTTGCTTAATTTTAAACTTTTAGACACCCTGTTTGACCGACCAGTTAAATCGGTCAACTTGAGACCCGACAACTTTGTCAAGTTTCACCCCAAGTTGGTTATTAAAACATTGTTGTTGAGGCATACAATAAAGGCCATAGATTGTAATGTCAATGTGTTAGAGTAGATGCCCTAGAGCCAATCAATTATTGTAGAATTGACTCTTTGTAATAATGTTCATTAATCAATAAAAGGCATTTTATTCTATATCGCGTAAATCATTATTATTGCAATATGTATTGATATATGTCCTTAGAATGGTAGAGCCGTGACAAGGGTATCAAGTGTTTCAAATCTTGATAGTGAGAACCCTATGAGCACATATGGTGGCCATTCTAGAAACGTCCGTAGCCCCAGTATTATTCTGAAGTAAGGGCACAGATAATACGGTAAGGCTATCATAGTGTTGAACGACCCTGTCGAAAGGCAGTGACTGATCTCACTTGTCAAGGTTGTTTGGTGACAACCTGGTGCAACACATGGGTGCTTGTTGTAGGCGGATATACCGCAGCAAGTTCACTGGACTGACCCACCAGAGGATTCCATATGGATGGTAACCCCAGTGTCTATGGAACAAATCCTCTAACGAATGGTGGTGCATGTGATCCTTAGACTTGAGATCACCGGAGTGCCTTGTGCACCGATTGGTACAGTTTGACACTAGCCTAACGCAGTTCTATTCAGAGCTGTCAGTACGGTGGTGATTGGCTATATCAAGGAGTGTATCAAGACTATGGTGGATTGACAAAGGATTCATCACTCCCGGGTACGGGAGAAGTTATCTCACGGCGCAATTCAGTATATGGCAATGACACTAAAACTGTGGCCACAGTGGGATTGAGTTGTTGCTCTATCCAGATTATAATACGGGTCATTGGTCCAGAAACTGAATATATAATATCGAGAGTAACCGAAGGTTGACACTATTTCTATGCCTTCGTCTCGTCGAGATAACGTATGATGAAAGGATCGTATTGTACGGTAACCATATCGTTGACAGGTAGCTACTTTGCTGAATCCGAATCTATCGGGTGGCCATGATGCCTTGCTAGGGGCCAATCTTGGTCTGTGTATTAGTGAGACGATTAATTGGTGTTAATCGCGATACTATACACTACCGGTATGATGAGGAGCCTATGGGTCACACACATAGAAGATAATTTAAGAGCCAAGAAGAAAGAAGGGCGTTTTCGTCTTTTTAGGCAAAAGGGTATTTTGGTAATTTCACAGTGCAATTAAATTTGCTGAGGTCGTAGCCTATTATTTAATTTGTTAAAAAATTAAATAAGTGAAATTACGGTTAAATGTGTGTTCGCACATATTTAATTAAATCATCATTATTGTTAAATGTTAATTAAATATTAATTGATTTTAATTAAGATAATGATGAATTAAATTAAAATATCAAATTGGGAGTGTTTGGCAACATGGGGTGTTTGGGTTGGAGCCCAAGCCCATTCCATGTGGGAATAGGGCAACTTGGTTTGCCTATAAAAAGAATAGTGTGTGATTCATTCTATAATTTTAAAAGAAAACACAGCAGCCCCTTATACACTCTCTCACGCCAATCTCACTGTTTGATTGAAAAATCAAATACTGATCTTCTTCTTGATTTCTTAAGGCCAAGGAGGATCTAGCAAATCCCTCCTTGGTTCTTGGTGGTTGTCTTCGTGTGGACTTCTTGGTTCGATCCTACACTTGGATCGGTAGCAAACACATTCAGAGACAACATTGGTGGAGCCTCCAAACGTGGGTATAAATCTAAACCTTTGGATTTATTTTTCTGCAGATTC